CTGCATAGTCCTAAAGGATCTATGTACCAAGTTTCATTGAAATGCGATGATTAGTACTTGAGATACCCGTGGAAAAGCTGACAATTAACTAATTATGCAAATTAGGTGATTAATATGCACAAATATTTATCCGAAACAATCAATCTCTGCATAGTCCTTGAGTATGTAAGTACCAAGTTTCATTGAAATGTGATGATTAGTACTTGAGATATCAGTGGAAAAACGGAAAATTGACTAATCATTATGCAAATTAGGTAATTAGTATCCACGGATTATTACCAAAAACTAATCAAAACCTAGCATTAGTTCAGAAAATAGCTAATTATCATGCAAATTAGGTAATTAACGAGCATGGATTTTTACCAAAACATAATCAAATCTGCGCATTGGCCCAGAGCATCTATGCACCAAGTTTCATCAAAAACCGATGTATGGTTCTTGAGATAGCAGTGAAACAGTCGGACACACATACACACATACACACACACATACACACATACACACATACACACATACAGACACACTAACTGCAAAGACTCCCATTTTGTGCTTCGCACATGGAAGTCAAAAAGTTGATTCTGAGTCCCTAATAGGAAAAAGGGTATGCTACCTGAAATCTACACAACTGTTAAAAGGTAGGATGGACAATACTCTATTCTTGACACAGCTGAGCCCATAAACGGGGAAGACTAGGTTAGGTTCAAAATAATAATTTGTGTTAACTGCTGGTCAGCGACATATGAAGTATGTGTGAAGTTTGAATGTAATTGGTCCAGGCATGTCTAAGATAAAGTCCAGGTGCACAAACAAACACAAGCACAAAGGTGAATCCATAAGTCCCTAAGAGAGGGACTAATAATGACAACAATGACAGACATAACTCACTACTTTATTATTAATATGAGCAAGGTATAAAAAGATGGACAGTCTAAATTATTATTTGGAGACCATCCCTCACCTGCTAGATATCCCCTGCCTCTTTGATGAAGAAGAAGATTTGAAATGTCTCTGATATTATCTTTCTGATATGGCGTTGCTATGTCTTGAATGCTACCATGGTTATGTGACTGGGATTGCTGCCATTCTGCTGGTGGAAGAGGTGCCACTGAAGCGGGAGGAGCGGTGGAATTCCCAGCATACTTCTTTTCGAGTGTACTAACCTTGCGTTGGTCTCTTCTTGGAGCGGCAGAAGCTGTAGCAATGTAAGGACAGAGAATAGTGTTTTTAAATGCATGCCACATCACAGATTGCAATAAATTTCACTACAATAATGTAATTAACAAATCAACCAACAAGGAGCATATTGAGTTAGTTTCAAATAGTTTCAAAGTGTCAAGTCTGTCTCATTTAAAGAAAGCTACTGTTTTTTAGCCTCTGTTGTAGTCCCAGCAATGGAATTGTCTTCTTAGTATTTCTTGTGACCCTGAATTTAGTTCCATGTAAAATGAATGAAGTGCGTTCATTCGCCGTAAAAAAGGTGTCTCACTAGTGAGGCGGTCGATAAAACTGTTGTAATCAAAGTCATCACTATGAAACTCAGCTTGTGATATATATATATTGGTATAATTCTTGTATCCCGATAATAAAACTCTACTTTGAATAAGTATCCCGCTATGACTGCCAGTCCAATCAGGTTCGAGTTGAAATGCGTTATGGGTCCAATGACGACGGCTAGAAGTCTGGGTGCGTCGCAAATGTATCAAAACAATCTTTATTGTAGCAAAACAACTTCAACAACATTGGAAGCAACTGCTGTACATTTACCGACAATGTTGATAATAACTTGCTGTAGTGTAGCAATATTTAGTTAAACATAATCGTTCAAAGAATGACTGAAACGATAGTAATAGTGTTAATTATTATACTTTGATTATGAGATAAACATTACTGACTTTTAATTTCATATCTACAGTCTATAAATTCAATACTTATTTATTTTTTAGGTAATGAGGAGATAAATGATCTGTGTTGGGAGTGGTTCAAGGATGCAACATCACGCCGGCTACCCGTAAGTGGTCCCATGATTCAAGGGCAAGCTCTGAAGTTTGCAGCTGACCTTGAAAAAGGTGATTATAGGGCATCCAATGGTTGGCTGGAGTCTTTTCGAAAGCACCACAACATAGTGTTTGGAAAGATAACCGGAGAGCGTGGTGATGTGTCAAGTGAAATTGTTGAAGAATGGAAGCAGAGATTGCCATATGTCATATGTGAAGGCTACAGTCCACGCGATATTTTCAATATGAATGAAACTGGTTTATTTTATAAATGCACAACTGATAGTTCCCTGTATGTGAAAGGAGAGGATTGCAGTGGTGGCAAAAAATCAAAAGAACGTTTAACCCTCATGTTATACAGTAATCTGATAGGAGAATAAGAAAAACCAATGATTATTGGCAAATCTCAAAAGCCACGATGTTTTAAAAACATAAATCTCAAGATGTTACCTGTCAGTTACTATGCAAACAAAAAGGCTTGGATGAGCTCAAATGTGTTTGAAGACTAGTTTTGTGGCTTTGACAGAAGACTAGGTCGCCAGAAAAGAAAAGCTCCACTCTTCCTTGACAACGCAACATCTCACCCACATCTTAACTTGCGGAATTTGAATACAACTTCCAAGCTTCAACCCATGGACCAGGGTATCATCCAGGCATTGAAATTAAAATACAGGAAGAAACAACTCAGACATATCATTGCTGAAATGGATAAAGACAAGTGTGGTCCTGAGCTGGTAAGAAGCACTAATGTCCTCAAGGCCATTCACTGGGTGCAACAATCATGGAAAGAAGTAGAGGACACAACAATCACCAAGTGCTTCAGAAATTCTGGATTTCATCCTGTTGACATCAACAGCAATACAACCATAGCGGATGAAGATAAAGACATTGGTGATGATGAACTGAATACCGCCGCTTATGAACTTTTTGGCTGTTCATTGCAAAACCTGGTAGACATTGATGTTAACTTGTTGACTACCAACAGTGTTATTGACTGGGAGAGATCCGCTGTAGATTTATTTGGCAGAACACAAAGATGACAGTGACAAAGAGAATGTAGAAGAGGAAGAACCGAAAACAACAAGTCATTGTCAATGACACGTCCCCGTTCCGTTCATATTTGAGTGACATATACATTCAAAGCAGATCATGACCGAAATGCACCTGCATATGTACAACACATTGTACTAAATCTGAACAAAATCCATCCATGCATGACTGAGATCTGGTTCCGG